GCTACCGAACCTGGCCGGAGAACCTAGTGAGAGAACATGGACACAGAACTTGGCTGGAGATTGTGGCTAGAGATCCTGGTAAGGCTGTTGATCAACTGAACACTGTCTCTGTGTCATTCCTTCTTCGCCGACTCCGTCCACACCTTTGGGGACCCCTGGACCTGCTCGGGCTGGACCCCAGCAATTTAGGTCATGATGAACCCTGGCTCTTTATATATTAGGACTAAAGACCCAGTACATGAAAATTCGTGCACTCAGGGGGGTCCCTCAGCCCGGCCTGCACCCTCTCATAATCGGGGACCCCTCGGGTAAGGTCGCTAGGCCTGGCTTGAGATCAGGGCCTAGCAGGACTTTCCTTCTCCCGGCTGCAGGCAGCTGGCCCCACCCCTGCCGCTGCCACTGCTTGCCCTCTGTACAGCGCTGCCCCCCCCCTCCCCTGCCACCAGTGGCCTCCCTCTGCAGGCGACAGGCTGGGGTGCGATGGCTTGGCTGGCCTGGGCCTCCCTCCTTCTTTGCTGGGGGGCGGGGCCAGCCCTGCAAGGGGCCATCTGCCTACCTGATTGCCCCTAACCATTGGCCTGCCTACCTGATCATCCCCTAACCACTCTTCCTGCCTGCCTGATTGCCCCTAACCGCCTGCTTGGGGGCAGGGCCAGACTTTCGAGGGGCCATGGTGGTCTGGTCTCTGGTCGTTCTGGTCGTGATGCCTGGACTTTTATTAGTATAGAATAGAGGCCTGGTGTATGAATTCGTGCACCAGTGAGGTCCCTTGGACTGGCCAGCAATCGGGGCTGATGGGGGTGGGGGGAGGAACCGCGGGAGGTTGGCCAGCTGCAGAAAGTTGGCTGTGCGAGTGCACTGATCACCAGGGGGAAGCTCCTGTGATGAGCGTTTCCCTCAGGTGGTCAGTGAACGTCATAGCTACCAGCTGGTCATCCAGTCATAACGGTCGCTTAGGCTTTTATATATACTAGAAGCCCGATGCACAAAATTCATGCAAGGGGCTCAGCCCTCACAGCCCCGGCTGCCCCAGCCAGTCCTCACAGCCCTGGCTGGCCCTCGCAGCCCCAGCTTCGTCCAGGCAGTCATCCGGAAGGACATCCAGAAGGTCGTTCGGCTGTCCAGTCTAACTAGCATATTAGCTCTCTATTATATAGGGTAGATGCTAATTACCCTCAAAATGGCAAAATTTTAAAGATATTAAATAAACTTAGAAAAAAAGATAAAATTCTTAAGTCTGAATTATTTCATCACCTCTGTTTAATTCTAGTTCTTCCTAGGGTTAAAGACACCCACTAAAGTAACAATGTCATCCCAAGAGAATTAGAGACCACCTTTCCAAGAGAATATGAAGTTTATCTTATCAGGGGACTGAGATAGAAATGTTGGCAGGACTGCCAGCTCCTAGACATTTAGGGTGATTTTTCTGACCACAGTGAGAGCAGACAGAGTCCTCTTTTGTCAATAAAGTCTCTCAGTCCCCAAATCCATGATTTCAGAGTCCATGTCATTTGTTTTTTAGTACACTAATTCTCAAGTCTGATTTGAGTATGGGCTTTCCCTCCAAGTTTTATCATCCCTTTATTAGATTCAAAACATCCATTTACTGTTTGATTCTATTATAAATTATTTGCATTTTCTTCCTATTTGGAGGGTCTACAACTCTTACCTCTATTAGGTGATATCAAGTTGGATTCTAGTTCTCATGAGTCACTGAGTTCTGCAGTCATTTCTAAACTCATCCTTATGATTTATCTTGCATTATATCATGTAAGTCAAGGAGGATACCAAGGTGATTCCATTAAGAATGCAAAACCTGCCCTGGCCAGTGTGACTCATTTGGTTGGAGCTTCGTTCCGTGCACCAAAGGGCTGCGGGTTCAATTACAGATCAGGGCACATACCCGGGTTGTGGGTTTGATCCTTGGTAGGGGCACATATGTAAGGCAACAGATCTGTGTTTCTCTCTCACATCAATATTTCTCTTTCTCCCTTCCCTTCTTCTCTCTCTAAAGTCTGTAAAGGAGCTCCAGTGGCGCAATCGGTTAGCACGCGGTACTTATAAAGTCAATAAAAATAAAAAATAAAATAAATAAAAAGAATGCAAAGCCTATGAGGGAGGAAGATATAAAAGGAAAAAAATCACAGTATAATATGGTAAATGCTGGGCCAAGATATACCAAATGCTATCAAAACTCAGAGGAAAAAGGAATCATGCCTGAAAGACTGAAGCCATAGCACGCTTTACACATAAGGCTGTCAGAGAAGAGCTTAAATTGGTCATTGAAATCTATTACGCAGGCAAGAATCCAATGGGCTTAACTGGCAGATGTAAAAGACTTAACTGACAAAGTACCTACACCACCAGGCTGATAGAGTTATATATATATACAGACAAGTTGCTCTAATAAAATTTTAGAGGTAGAAGGGGCCTTTATAAGATTACTATAACTTTCATGTTTGAGGGAAGAAAGAAAGGTAAAGTGGATTGCCCAAAGTCCTCTAGCTAATTGTTCATAAGCCTGAGTCAGAGTTCTAGAACTTAACAAAAAATGTACTTCTATTCTTAAGTGCATAATCATTCCTGACCCTAAATAATAATGTTGAGTAAAAAAACAGAATATAATATAGTCTCTCAGCATTAAAGTTGACAACGGCAACAGCAAAGCTAACAATTCCACGCGACTGGCCTGAGCTGTGGAGGGGTATCCTGCCAATATTAGGTTCAGGGATCTCACCACATAAGGGACTACACTGAAGAGTTTAAAGAGAGTAAAGGATAGTTTGAGGAAGCACAGTTTAGTTTTTGACTGTTCAGAAAATCCTACCTCTTGGTTTATTTCTCACTCTCAGCTTCATGTGAATGTTGCACATTTTAAGTAAACTAAAATTACTTTGCTTCAATTGAGCTTTGATTAAATAAAAAATCCAAAATGTAACAACATGCAGCAAATTTGGTTACTATATGCCAGAAACAGTGGCAAGCATCCTAAATGCTTTATCTCATTTAATTCCCATGATAAGGCTGTTACTGTCTCAATTTCCCAGATAGGACTTAGATTACACACTTTGCTCAAGACGCTGGTGGAACCAAAATTCAAAGCCAGGCAGATGGCCCTAACTCCAGAGTCCAATTCTTAACCATTATATTTTGGATTAAGGCAAAGAAAAAGTACACCAGAGGTTGCAAAAGAACTGCACAGAAAGTAAATGCCCGTTTTAAGCGAATTCAGTGTGAAATGTCTGACAAGTTCACAAACATACCTTATATCGTAGCGACCCAAAACAAATAACTCTATCATTACCTCAGACCCACAGCCTATTTCAATTATGCAAGGTAATGAAAGATTGGCATATCATATAGAAAAATTACTTCTAGGATAGGAGGTAATGTCCACTGCTGCTGTTGAAGCTCTTTTGTTTCGGTGTGACTTTGACCTTCTTCAAATGCAAAGGTCATCCTCCTTTGAGCTAGTCTAACCTCCATTACACCATGAGTAATTGGAAGCTGATTCTATGTATGAATAAGAGGATTAGGCTTGACCTTATAACACTCCCTAGATCTTATCTGGGAAGCTAATGGGCGGAGGAAGTTCAGGAAGTAAACAAGTAAAACTCACAAAAACAGTGTAAATAAGTGAAACTCACAAGAACTGTGTAACTATGGTAACCACTACCTTGTTTACCTCTCACTATAAAATAAAGGCTCAGCTTGCCTTGGGATCTCTCTCTCTCTGGCCTCAGCCAGGCACAGGGAAGATCCACGGAGACTAAGGAAAGCTAGAGAGTTTTGAACGCTGTCTCCGTGTAAAACATTCTTCGCCGACTCCGTCCACACCTTTGGGAACCCCTGGACCGCTGGGGCTGGACCCCGGCAGATGGAAAAGAATTGTCTTGAATAATCTCTTTATGCTCTTTCAATCCCTCGAGATTTCAAAACAGTTTCCCTCTCTGCATTCACACTCTCTGCACTAAGAGGACAGAATGAAAAGCAAGGGACAGTTGATATCTAAATAACTGGAAAGTAGGCCTAACGGAGGATTGGGCAAAGAACAGAAAATGCTATCCATGGACATGGAGTTCTTTGCTCTATGCCTCTTAGTGAATGAAAACCTACCCTTGCATCTTGCTCCAGATGGTATAGTTGCTTTTGAACATTTGGGAATATTCTCCTAGCTGTCCTGCCTACAATACTTGAATTTCCTGGGTGAAGGATGAAACAGTTAATCCTATGCTTGCCCTGCAAAATAGGGATGGATTCCTTGATTGTAGGGTGGAGAACTAGAAAACAAATACTGTTCCACAGCTTTTCCAGATAGCTTCCTCTTGCGGTACAAGCATTCCTAAGAATATGTAGCTACACTAACGCTTTCCATCTACACTGTCACATTGGAGCTTCACAATATAATTGGGTTAGTCAGTGGCAAGGCCGGGACTACCCAGTTCTCCTGATCTCCTCCCCTCTCTGGTAATTCTAAATACAATGATGGTGAACTCCCAAGCCTAAACTGGTTTAATCCACTACTCACCAGCCTCTGACCTTCTCTGAGCCATGACATAACCTTCTGGCACACTCTCTGACCCGCAACAGAACGCACAGCAAATACGGATCGACTTCATTAATCTCCCCACCTGAAATATCACTAGGAAGTCGAAATCTCGGCTTTGGCGCTCCCATCGCACAAAGGCCTGCATTTTTTACTTATGCATTTTTTTATGGAGATAGAATTTGCCCCAAATGTCGCAGTTTCCTTTTGCCATGGTCCCGGAGTAGGCCCCTCCTGAGTTACCTCTTGATGGTGATATTTCGGAAGAGTGGGTACCACGCGGAGAACTGACAGTGCAGCACCTGCTCCTTCTTCATCCTCCAGCCGCCGCCGATGCCTCTGCGTCCAGCACCTCCCGGAACCTACTTCTCCAGCCCCGGAAGTGCCCGCCGAGCTATTTTGGCTCAAGAACTCTTCCGGTCTCTAAAGCAAGGAGGAAGTGGCAGGGAAGGGAGCAGAGGGGGAGAATTGTGGGGCGTACTTTCAGAGCGCGCCTGCACACGCTCACAAACACCCGAGTCCGCTCCCCGAGAGGCGTCCCGGAAGAGTTAGGAGACTTTCAGAAGTGCCCGCCCGCTTCCCTCCTAGAGGCGCACTGCCCCGGAAGGTAATCGGCTAAGGCTCCGTCCCGGCGGGGGTTGGACGGGTGCCGGGAGGGCGCGCGTGCGTATCCTCATAACTGCGAGCGCGGCTACGTCTCATGCGGCGGCACCGGCTTCCCTGGAGACTGCAGCCTTGGACTCGTGCATCTTCTTTCGTCCCCTTCCCTTCACCCCCCCCACCTTGGAGTAGGTAACTGGGCGCGGGCCAGTCACGTGTAGACCTGTGGGGGGAGAGGGCGGGCGCTCTCCTGGAGCGTGCGGGCAGCCACGCGCCTGCTTTGTATCAAGTTTAATGATTCCTTGTCCATTTTTTTAAATCTCCAGGAAAGACTTGCCCAAAAGCAATGTGTTGTGTTCTTAGGGATCCTGGACAGCGAGGGGCGGCGGCCGCGGAGCCGCGGAAAGGAGGGCCACGTTCTCAGGGGGATCCACGGGCCGCCGTATAAGAGCGTGGGCTGTCCGGAGTAGGGAAGTCAGGAATATCACAGATACTGATTTGCGTGCAGTGGTTGAAGCATCTGCAAAGGAGGGGAGTGACCCCGCTTCTTTCGTGAGGGGGGTTAGGAGAGATAGGCAAGAACCCCATCTGTGCGGCCCTAGAGAGGGAGACTTGGGAGTGTAAGAGGAGAGGTACGTTTGAAATACAGAGGGAAGGAGAAAGGTTTCTCCTGTGAGCGTCGGGTACTTTTATACCAGCCCCGCAAAAACAGCAGGAGAAGCCCGATTCCGTCAGTGCCCACGCCATGCCGGAGTAATAGGACTGGCAGAATCCTGGTCTAACTTCTAATGTCATTCCTTTGCCTCCTCCCTCCCCGTCACCCCATCATCTATTTTCCCTACTCCTGCCGGAACGGGGTATCCGGTAGCGCCCAGAAAATAGACTATGAAGGAAGTTCACTTTTGTTTCTTTTAAAGAATGAGAGAAATGACTAGCCTGCTGAGAAACCTGGCCCTTGACTCGCCTGGGGCTTACCCCAGGCACCTGTGCCTAAGACGCGCCTGTTAGAGGTCTCCTTAAAAACTTCCCACCTGACTGCTCCATCTAAGCAGTTTTAAATTGGAAAAGGAAGCTATGAACATATGGGTGCATATATCCTTTCTGATTGGTGTTTCTGGTTTCCTGGGATATATTCCTAGAGGTGGGATCACAGGGTCAAATTGGAGTTCCATTTTTAGTTTTTTGAGGAAACTCCATACTGTCTTCCATAGTGGCTGCACCAGTCTGCATTCCCACCAGCAGTGCACAAGTGTTCCTTTTTCTCCACATCCTCTCCTGCACTTGTTTGTGGATTTAGTGATGATAGCCATTCTGACAGGTGTGTGATGGTACCTCATTGTTGTTTTGATTTGCATCTCTCGGATGATTAGTGACTTTGAGCATGTTTTCATATGTCTCTTGGCTTTCTGAATGTCCTCTTGTGAAAGGTGTCTATTTAGGTCCTTTGCCCATTTTTTGATTGGATTGTTTATCTTCCTTTTGTTAAGGGGAAGGCCGGGGAAAGTTGGGGGGCAGGAGGGAGGGGTATAAGAGATCAACCGAAGGACTTGTATGCATGCATATATGCGTAACCAATGGACATGGGACGCTGGGGGGTAGGGGAGGCCAGGGGATAGTCAAGGGCGGGAGGGAAAAAAGACACATATGTAATACCCTTTGTAATACTTTAAGCAATAAAAAAAATAAAATAAAAAGAAAGGTAACAAAAAAAAAAAAGAAAGAAAAGGAAGAGCCGACTGCAGGCCTCTCTAAAAGGTATTCATTAGAGTAATTACTAGGCCCTCTGCCTGCCTGGAGTTGGAAATTATTCCGCTCGGGAATATGCATATGTTTTATGTTTTGTTTTTCTCAAAAATGTTGCAGGCTCTTTTCCTTTAAAGATATAGTTTCAAAGCAGAGGTACATAGGTTATAATGTTGCAGTGTTTGTTAAGGGAGAGGGCAGCGGTAGTGGTTCATAAGTAATTCTGAGATCCACGATCATGCAGTCCTTTCTGTTTTGAAGGGGAAAAAGAAGCAATATTCCATATATGTTAGGAGAATGGTACCAGACTAATAGTAACCTCATGCCAGGTGAGGCAGTCACTCAAATATTGTTGGGATTAACCTAGGAATCAATAGGTTACAGCGAAGGAAATGTTAGCATCCGTGAATTTGGGTAAGGCATTTTCTCTTGAAAATAGGAATTAATAGATGCATAGGAGGAAGAAACCCAAAACATAGTCACTCTGGAAGGAGTAATACAGTAATAGCCCGGGAAACTTTAGTGTGGAGGTTTGTTCAGTGACGTTAGTATTTCAACTGATTTAATATAACTTGTTACACATTTAACCAGCTTCAAATACATTGACATTCCAAACAGATACTCCAGTATTTTTAATGGATTCAGCAAAATTCACTTTCACTGTTTTTTAGCCACAGTGTTTGTCTTTACTTAGCCATAAAGTGTTTATATTCATTAAGTTTCTTCAATAAAATCTTTACAACAATGGCAATAGTTGCTTTTTCTCGTGCATGTCAAAAAAACATCGTTAGCCAAATGGTTGGGTGTTATTGTGCAATTACAGGTTAAATAATGGGGGGAAAAAATTTTCTCTGAATCCATAACATGACTGATCCTTCTATGTTAATATGTCCAACTACCTGCTGGTTTTCTCCTCTTGGAAATCTAGCCAAAATCTTAAACTTAGTGAGTCCAAATTTGAACAGTGCACCACCCCTTTCTCCTGATATCCCAATGTCCTTTAAGAGCATCTTCTTAGAATTAGCTTTGGAGACCTCTTCCGCAGAAACTGTTTTAGGAAAAGTAATAAAGGCTCATCTTCAAGGAAGTCAATCTTTTCTTTTGACGGCTACCACCCTAGACCTCTGCTATTCCAAAAGGTTCTTTCCTGTAACCCATTAAACTTCCCAAGGGTAATTAACAGCCAGTTCACTTTAACTCAGCTTAACTCCCACCCCTGCCAAAAAAAAAAAAAAAAAAAAAAAAAAACACTTTCAGTGCCTTTCCATCATTCCTGTACATATTAAGTAAAGGAAGTCTTCATTTGCTTGAGGATAATCATCAGCAAAGAAAAGCTCACTTAAAGTGAATCTATTTGATGTCCAAAAATCTTACCATAAACTATACACAATAAGGATTAATCAAAATACTACTTATAAAAAACTCAAAATTTTAGTCTTATGATTATAACCAAAACTATCAAATAGAACTATACTAATTGATTCTCTGTTCATTGTAATAACTTCTATGCAAATATTCTGAAAGAATGTAGAGTGGCATCTTAGACATGTCCAAGCATTTGATAAACGTTTGACTTTAACACACAATCATAAACTTACTTTTGTAAACACTGATCCTCTCCCAGTTAATTTCTTTCATAGTGCCTTGTTGATTTCTCTACCTAGTGACTAAACTGTTCCAACTGCCTGACCTTCATTTGTCCATCGGATGCTTTGCTTATGATTTGAGCTCCTATGTCTATTATTTGGCTGAAAATAAATGGTGTTCATAATATTCAACTTTCACCAGGGAGAGATTAGCTAACATATAATTTCATGTTGAGATTTTTGCTTCATTTTGCAACCTCAGCAAACTGCAAATTGAGATTCAAGAATGGTAATAATTTGAATAAAACTAATGAGCCTTGAGTCCAAATATCACAGCCTGGCTTTTGAGATTCTCAGTTTAACTTCTTGAAACTTCCACTTATCCAACTATTTTTACTAATAGTAAAATACTCAAGTTTGTTAAAAAGTAATCACTTATCTTCCTTCAGTAGAGAACTGTAAAGCTAACTCCAAGAGGAGCAACAAGAGTCTAGCATGCCAGTTAGGATTTTACCAAAAAAATTCTGAGATGTTCTAAATTAAAATTACAGCTTCCACAGAGTGAGAGAAAGAGACAAAACAGCTGTGGAACAGCTCTCACAAAAGATTGCTCACGTTCCTGTATATCTGTTGGAATTTAGAATTAATTTCCAGGTGGCTATTTCTGGATTATCTAAAAGGATTGCAGCCAGGTACTGCAGAAATCCAGGAGCCTCCGCTTATTTGCACATGAACTTCCCAATCCTTAGGAGCCCACACTTCCTTTCAGACTCTTGCACATCCTGGAATTAGCCCCTCTTAACATCATCCATTCTCTTTGTAGCTACTAGTAATGTAAATCCTTTCGGAATGGCTTGAATACTTGTTTCCTCCTACCTGAGCTATAAAAATGCTTGCAAAACCCCAGGGAGGAGACAGACATATTGTCTCTCCGACCTATCCACGCTGGGGTGGTTTAAATTCCATACGCCAAAAAGTCTTTTGTGTGTGTGTGTAAAACTAGTCTTATAAACCCTTTCTTTAAAACAAAAAAAGGCTAAGCTGCGGTAGTTAAAAAAAATTAACAGGTTGTTGGATGCTTTATTTGCCTGCAAATTTGGGAGAAGAGGGCAAGCATTCAGCCAAATCCAGCCGCTGGAAATGTGTTATCCATTATAATATCCGTTATATGTGGGGTTTGTTTTGTTTTGGGGTTTTTTTGTTTGTTTGTTTGTTTTTTAATATATTTTATTGATTTTCCACAGAGAGGAAGGGAGAGAGATAGAGAGTTAGAAACATCGATGAGAGAGAAACATCGACCAGCTGCCTCCTGCACATCCCCTAGTGGGGACATGCCCGCAACCCAGGTACATGCCCTTGACCGGAATCGAACCTGGGACCTTTCAGTCCGCAAGCCGATGCTCTATCCATTGAGCCAAACCGGTTTCGGCTGTTTTGGGGTTTTGTTTTTTGTTGTTTTTGAGGGGTTACGGAAGGAAAGCTTGAGAACCACAGGGCTTGCCCCAGATGATGTCTGCTTTGTTCATGGTGGTTGCTTTTCCTTGGAATGCTTTCCCTGCCTCTTGGTCTGCAAATCTCAACATCAACCTGCCTTTTAGTAGTAAGTAGCCTTTTAAAAGTCTACAATTTTCCCCACCTCCCAAGTGGATATATTTGTCCTTCATTTAAAGCACCCTGC